TTGAAATATATTGTCTCTGAAATAGCATTTCCAGCCATCTGAGACTATTTTCCGGCAATTTTTAACCGACTAAAACCATTGATCGGATATTTTGCTTCAAAGTTGTACTCTTCTGATTGAACAGGTTTGTACAAATTGATATGCAACTTGTCAGTGTTGTATGATGGATAAGTTAACTTATTACATAGGCCCCACGAACAATAACATTTCTTTGCCTAATTCAGATGTTTGAGTTGACTTCGAGGGAAAAGACATCTTTAGGGGTATATCGTTTGCAGTCAATTTTCCAAACAACTGCTGTCCAAATTAACCATAATACACTCTTTTTCTATATGAGAGAGTTTATATAAGAGTTTATCATGTACCCAAAGCAATAGATATTGGATTTGTCGAATGGATCCTGGGAGGGTGGGGACCTTAAGTTGAATCTTGACTCCAGTTTAAATCGTGAACGGAACAGTTGGCTTCTGTGGCTCAATTCAAGCAGACCTTAAATTAATCAATCTCTCAACATAACATACTAAGATATTAAAGTTTTATTTATTCCCCGAAAAAAAAGCAGCAACAACCCCGGAAAAACGTAGAACAGCAATAATGATGTTAAGTATAAACTTTTACGACAGGTCTGTTTTTCTTCTTTATTTGTTAGCTTCAAGTAACAACGTCTGTGAGAAGCTCGTTTGTGAATGCGACGGAGCTGCTGCTCGCTGTTTTGCCCGCTCCAACTATAACTCCAATTACAAAGGTTACCGAAAGCACCACCATTGTTGAGCATGTCAATGGAACTGTCTTCAGTGACAGTCTGCAGACATGAAACGCTGAGGGGTCAGATGAGCGTTATCACCATAATCATCGTCATCATTCTTATCAATAGTATTTTTTCTCCTCTATATTTTTGTCCAGTAAATCTGCTGTGAGCAATCCCTTGTGTTTTAAAAGGGGATCACAGCACAGTTTTAGCGCTAAAACTGTGGTCCCCAAAATATAACAGGACACTCGCTGCGTAGAATTATTCTAACGCCCGTTTCCTAGACGCAATTCCTAGAGGTAAACGCTTGTGTTGTATTTCCTAAACGAAAATCACGTTTAAGTTATTGCATGATGTTGGCATATTACTCTAGTCCACGCTAGCAATATATACAGGTTATAATTGTTCTAGTTTTTTACTCCCTGACGAAGTCAGCGTTTATAGTCAGACGAAACGCGTAGGAGACAATAAAAGTTGTAATGCTACAACTCAAGTTTGGACGGTCCTGCTCAATAGTTTCGCTTTTATTAAATTGTTCAGTTTTAAGAATTGTGTTTTTACAGTCTTTCTTGTATTGGTATTTTTCGTCGCGGAGTACCAGCACCATCAAACCCCATTTCAATGTGAACAGTGCTGGGACCAGAGATACACTTCATAGTGGTGGGGTTACAACACAAACAGAGATGAACGAGGATTTGAATACTGCCTGTTTGAAACATGTTCAGTATTAGAAAAGTTCCAGCCCCTTGTAAAGTCGACAAACTCACGACGTATTTACCGATGATACGCAAGTGCGGACAAGGGGTCCAAAGTTTCCGCCTTCCCTACCGCTGGCTCCCTCACCGTTTACTCCCGTTGAATTGCCGATACCGTTTACTCGCCCTTGCCGTAAAATTTAGTGC